GTTGTCTGCTGGATGAGAAGAAGCTTCCTAGCAATTCTTCTTTCCCCAGGCTCCAGGACTTCAAAGGTTCTGGAAAGGCAGCAGGCAAATACCTACGCGTATACCTATGCACACCTGGTTGGCCCAGGACATTATAGCTCAATGCAATCAATCCCTCTTTGACAGGTAGGTTAACTCTTGCTTCCAAGTGGACATCATAGTGAGTGAGTCGTATCAATCGAGGTGTGTTATAGACCCTCATCTTGTCACGTGGTAATCCTTTGAGCTAATATTAATAGTACTGTGGTCCACACAGCTGTTCATGATAAGATTGGTGAGAGATTTTGAAGAAGTTAAAATTCTATATTGCCACGTATGCCAAAAAGTACTTATTAGTGTTATGTGAAGAGACAACTTGGACTCAAGAATTATCTGTATTCTGTACACCTTCTTTCTCAAGTCTGATCTCTGTTGTGTCTTCTGCTGCAACACCGCACGTTTTTTCGGATTGTGTTTGGGTTGAGTCAGCTAATGAAATGTGAACAACTGGTAAGTTTTGTCATTTGGTTTTATACGGTGGTTGTGCAGAGTGACAAGGAACTTAATTGTCCTACTGCACTTGAACTGGTTGCCAAGCCCATATCCCAAACGTGAGGGAAGGGAGGAATTATTGCTGCAGAAAATTAAAGAAGCGATGATGGAAATATCACATTATTTTTTGAATTACAGTGTAGTGTAGTTGCTGTTGACAAGGGCATCGTAATCTCTTCTGCAAACAACTTTTGTCAGGGATTTGTAACTCTAAAGAAATTTGTCTGTGCCTGAAACTTGGCATCATCTCATTGAACAAAGTACTAAATTGCTGTCATATACACTTTAAAGACTTGTATGCACGATGGGTGTTGATTTCCACAATAAGTACAGCTATTTGCCCTTCAAACAGGTGACATCATATCTGCTTTGGGGGTTTGCCTGGACGCGAAAAGGTTACAAGGACTTAAAGAAAAAGCACTTTGTACGGAGTATACTGAGAAGAAAATCAAAGTGAAGAACCTTTAAACTGAGATTAGCCAGCAACCCTGGCTTTCTGGTTTTGTGACTATACAAAGAGGCTGCAATGCCTTTAGTACAATTCCTGGGTAAAACTTGCCTTTTCAGTACTGAACACCAAATGGCCCAAGAAGGCGTTCGCTATGGGCAGCACGTTAACACTTGCCACTCTTCCCGCTGTGAATGAGCCTGCTAATCGTCTCAGCTATTTATGAACTAGATTTAACAACTACAACACCGGTCACAAAGAATTTACCGTAATATATTCATAATGGTCTCTCCTTGTTGGTTTCATAAAATGTTTGTAGAAGCTGACCTTTCTGTTGTGGAGATAGTAGAGAGTGGTGGTGATACAGATGCTGCAACACTTTTCATGTAGTCATTATTACATAGTTTTCAAAGGCTTCATTGATAAGGGATTCAAACAGGAAAGCTATCACAAAAAAAGTTTCTGGTTGTTTTGTAACAAGATGCACCTATAGAACAGGTTGTAAATGTGTTATTTTTAAGATCAAAGAAGTAGTAGATAGTTTTGAAATGGGCTCGTTAAAGCAATAACAATTTGATAAAGCTGACTCTCCTGATTTCTGGTGTACAGTTAATTGAAAGGATATTTAGCATTGGTTTGATACCTGTCTCTAAACATTATCTACAAAAATAAGTAGAAGTATAGAAATGCACATCAACTGTATTGGTCATCAGCTTGGCTCTGTCCAGTATTCCAGAGTTTCTGATCCCCTTTGCTGTCCCTATAGAACGGCTTTAAAGCTCGCTCGGTGTATATTCAAACTTCTGGCATTTTGCAGTTGCTCTTTTATCTTTATAATAAAACATTTATTTAACAACAATTAAATGTTGAAACAGCTTGTTGGCAGATGGGATGGATTTTCTATCTCCTGAAGTTTTCAAAAGTGTCTTTCAAAAATATGTTCATTTTACGGTCTGTGTTATAGACAAGACTGAACTGTAGTTTCATAGTGTTTTTTCTTGACTTCATAGTTTATCCATATTTTTGTCTATTTTTTTTGTTATTCTCTGTGTAGTGTTTTTTTATCCTTCTAATTTGACCTAAAATTACATTTAATACATAATCTTTAAGCCACGCCTACTTCCTTAAAAAGCCAAACACTAAATAGAACTGGTAATAGAGATTACATGGCACAAATGACTTGTGCCTTGAGAATCAGGAGACCCCTTTCTAAAATCCCTGTTGGCATAGTTAAATACACTGCGGGCTCTAATCTCAGATACTTCGTGGTAAGTTGTGCTGTGTCCTTACACTCAAATACTAAGCTTCGCAACATTAGTAGAAAAAGTGAAGATGTTAACTGGAGTTCCTCTTGCATTCTTTCCATTCTTTAACTAAAGCACATGTGCTGCTAAGAAGATACCATATGCCAAAGATTGGTCTCAAATATGAAACTGAATTGAATATTGATTTTTAGTTTAGATCATTTAGCTGTTTGGGTTTTTTTTCTGGACCGAGGTGACTGGTTCTGGTACTTTGTATGAAAATTGAATTGCTGAGATACTAAGCTGTGGAATGTGGTTACTACTCATCTGCATTAACAACCATTTCAAGAAATTTAATAGGAATTTTTATTATGCGCTTATGTGTAGATTTAAATAACCTTTATTAATACACTCCATTGAACAATAACATACACTTTTAAAATGTCATAAATGCAGAGAAAACTTAACTACTACAGATATGCAATGGTCACCATTTATAAGCGCAGCAAGATTAATATTTGCCATGCAACTGCATCTGAAAAACTGCATTAATCCTTATTTTATGGGTAATATTGTAGTAATCTGTTAAGGATTTATTTATTTGGCTAAAGTAGTTTGTTAAATGACTGTAGTAATTCTGGAGTCTAAATTATGTATTTATGGAATACAGTAATGATTTAGTTTGCTTTTAAAGGACAAAACACTTGCCTTTAATTTCTAATAAAAAGCAGTATGAAATGGAGTTGGAAAGATGAGGTGGTTGGGCAGTTGTTATTATCTAGTTGTGACCTCTGTCATTGATGGCTGGCAAATTAATCCCTCCACCAACAAAACAGGAGGAGACAGAGTGAAAGGGCAGATAAATAGTTGGAAAATCAGTTAGCTCAATTTTCCAAAGAATATTAATAAATCACCTTATGTCCAGTTGGTGCTTGGTAAGAAGCTTAGTGCACCAGGGATCAGTTCTGGGGCTGATGTTGTTAAATACCTCCCTTAACAACCTGGATGAGGAGATGGCGTGCTCCCTTGAGAAGTCTTGAGGTTATGCACAGCTATGGGGGAAGAGGTTGACCTGCTGGATTGTAGAGCTCTACAGTTCAGAGGGACCTTCACAAACCTGAGGGTTGGGCTAACAGAAAGTCCCTAAAGTTCAGCCAGAATGACTTTGCAGATGTAAGCCATTTGTCGACTCAACTGGAATTTAGAGACTAACATTAGTTAACGTTATTTGAATAAAGAATGCAACTTTTCACACTCAGTCAGGGTGATTTAGTTCAATTCGCTCTAAACTCTGTTGCTTCTGCTGCACGTTGAAAAATTTGGACTGCAGGTGGAGCATTGATTTGCAAAGTGTATACAATAGCTACACTTGAAATGCATACCTCAAGAATGGGCTCTCTTGCCTGTTCCTGGACTGCCTGACAGTTATAGGTGAGGGATATTTATATGGCTGTACAAGGAAATAGGATCTGTAAATTGGTATTGTATAGAGCGAGATAGTCTTTCAGCGGACAATAGGCTGTTTCATTATATCAATGCTTTCTGACGGTTTGCTCTCTTCAGAGAGCTTCAAAAAGCTAAATTCTACTTTGCCATTAGAGTAGGTTCATCTATTATGTGGCCTCAATAATGTTATCTGGAGGTAAGTCTTAGAGAAAGGAAATGCCTTAAAAAGTAAAAATGGAGGGATAATGTAGTGTTGTAGATGTCAGTCTGATATCTATCACTGTGAGAGATTTAATATCTTTATCTTCATTTTATTCTAATTGATGAGAGAGTCTGATGTTTGCAAAGCCCTAAATTACAGATGCTTATGTGATGGAATAGCTATTGTCAAAGTATGGGGGGAAACAGCACCCTATTGTTGCCGTCTGTTAAAAATGATTTGTGGAAAATTGACTTTGAATGTTTGTACTGGAGGTCAGAGTTCCCTTCTGAGGGCTCATACTTCCATAGAAATATCTAGAATTGCCACAGATATGCCTTGCTATTAAAGGAATGATTTTGATATAAATACTTATCTGGCAGTGCTTTTGATTCATTAAAATGGGAAAAATAAGTGGAGCAAAACAGCTGGGACAATTTCTAAGTAAATTCATCAGTCATTCAGGAGCTATGCATTTAAAACACCTATAAATAATAGAATGCTCCATCTAAATGAAGCTTTTTATTGATGTGTAAGTACAGTGTCACCCTGAAATTTTTTTTAACTTATAATTTCCTTGTGTTTAAAATCAGATCAGGCAAGTTATATTATTTCTACTTTTTCAACTTTATTTTAACAGCTTTATTTTGTATGGTGTTTGAAATGAAATTGATACAGGCAGTTGTTAAGCTTTAAAATTACTTTCAGGTAATAAATAATTGTTTTAGAAACTCTGTGCCTTCACTCAATTTTTTAATATTATCTTGGGGACTGACAAAATAATAGGATAACATTTGTGTTTTGCCATTGGCACTCGTAAATCCCCTTTATTCATATTCTTACAATATATTCTATTCCTTTAAATATCTTCTTTCCCCTCTGATGATGTCCATGGGACTGCTGATCCTACAAAAGAAGACAGGATGATGGAAACGGGGAGAGTAAAGTACTGAGAACCCAGTTTTTGCTTTTTATTATACAGGTTTAGATCTCCCAGGTTTACAAAGAATAAATAAATTGTGTATGGATATGTAAGGAAACAAACATTTAGGTTTGGGGTGTTCTTATTATTTTTGTTTTAATAGATAAAAAGATGGCTTATCACAAAGTGAATGCAGACCAGAGAGCACAGGGGCACTCTCCGTACCTTGACAACGATGAGCTCCAAGCCACAGCGCTGGAACTGGAATGGGACATGGAAAAAGAGCTGGAGGAGCCTGGCTTTGACCATTTCCGACTGGATGGTGCGGTCCAGCATCACCTCGGAAACTCGCAGAGCCCTGACCTTGATTTGGAGCCCATCCAGCCATCATCTTCTCCAAAGGGAAGATTCCAGCGGCTTCAGGAAGACCCTGACTACATCTCACACTATACAAGACAGGCACCAAAGAGCAACCGCTGCAATTTTTTTCAGATACTGAAAGTATTTTGCACTGCTTTGATTTTATTTATTTTTGGAATCGTGATAGGATATTATGCACGCAAGAAATGCCTTTCTCCCCCAATGTCTCAAGAACCAAATAACCTTCATATCTACCATGAAATTCTCAAGGAAATCAAAGCTGAAAATATTCACCAGATCTACAGGTATGTACCTTCGATGTTTTTGTCTAAATGCAATCAGGTGCCACTGTTAAGACTTCTTGTGATTTGTTTTATGAGGAATTTTATTTACAAATGTTGACTTTTTTTGTGTGTTCAGTTTTCTGGTGATGCTTGGGAAGCTTTCTGAAACACATGTGAAATAGTGTAAACACTAGTATAATTTCTGCCAATGTGGATTTGTTGTTAGTCATTATAGTTTTTGCTTTAATAACATTCTATTGCTAAATATATTAATGTTAGCTTTAACATACGTGAATTGAAAAAATAGGTAATTCAAAGTGAATAGCAATACAGACAATAGACCAGCTGTCCCAGATCCAGTTGATTATCAAATATCATTGTCAAAAAGCAAGATTTTAGATGATATTTTGTTATAATTGGTGCTTTAAGAAATCCCCATCCAATCTCTGGCAAATAAGTGAATCTTGATTTTTGTTTTTTGACCTATACTAAGATGTAAACCTTTAATCTGCATGGGTTTAGGAGGGAAAAATTGAACTCTGAAAGACAATGATTTTTTTTATTATTTTTTTTTATTTCAGTACCTGTTTTATGAATATAAAATTTTGTAAAATATCTACTGACTGGGTTTGATTTTAACTTTTTTCCATGTGGAATCTTTTCAGTGCTTCGAAAGTTTATATTACCCGTTCCTATTGGAGTGTAATCGCTTTTCTCTAGCAGTGAATGCGGAAGAAGCTAGATTTTTCCTGCCAACTTTTGAAAGCTCTTTCTATATGAGGGAGGAGATGAGCTTAATGTTGGCTTCTGGAACTGCAAGTTCCTTTTTTGTAATAAAGGAATCGCATTGCAAAATTTTTGTTTGGTCCCAGTTCAGAAGCAGCAGAACTTACATACCCAAGGTTAGAAAGGATTGTTGTCATGGACATCCAAACAGTTGTTCTTGAGTACATCAGAAATACGTTGAAAGTAACCACAGAAGTCTTTCAACATTATTTGTCTTTTAATATATTTGCTAAATCAAGTCTAAAATCCTGAAGCGGTTAGTACCATATTTTGAGCCAACACTTACTAAATTGAAGGGAAATAATAGGTATAAAGGATTTCATGACAGTTTTCGTGTGCTGAACTGACTTGACTTTATACAAATCTAATTGTTTTCATAATGGGAAAGGGTACAGGTGATGAAAAGTGTGGAATCTGAATGGTTAAAAATTAACCTCTTTGTCTTCTCAGAGAGTAAATTGGACTGAATTCTGTCATTAGGTTTAGTCATGGGCAAAGTATTGGAATAAGCTAAGCCCTACTGATTGGGGATTACACAAATTACAGCAAATTGCAGAGAACTCTGTCAGTCTCAGGAAAATACTCCGATTCTTTGTGTTTGGGGACTGGGAATCACTTGCTGTTTTATTATTTCAAAGAATGGTTTGAAAATATCCCTTTTCAAACTCTTCATCACTTTTAAAACTATTTCAGCTAGCTAGTAGGATATTAGTGAGAATCTGGACTTTAGGTAAAATTAATTATATGAATACTTTGGAGCTTAAAAAACTTACATAGCTGCTGTCCTTTAATTAATGTAATTCTTAGAATTTGGTAATTTTTTTTCTACATAATAGAATGATTTCAACCAATGTAGTCAAATATTAATTCAGCTACCTATCGACTCTGTATATAAATATATAATCAATGCTTTTAGTACACCGCATTACCCAGAAGATTTTTCTTAACCCAACACGTTGATCTGAGACCGCTTTTATCCCATGCTGTGTTAAGTTGCTTCCTCTCAACATCTGTTTGGCAAGAGTCAGAGCTACTGCAACGAAACCTATGTCTACGTAGCCCTACAAATATAGAACACGCAACATATGTTGCTTCCGGAAAAAAAAGAAGCCCAAACCTGACAAAACCAATATATATTATTGTAAGATTTCTTTCAATATAATATACTTGGAGTTACTAGGAATAAGTGGCAGCTCCTTAGCTTGCAATATCTAAATGTTACTGAGAATGACATTAATTTAATTTTCTTAGCTTACTACTTAGATCAGACTCAATAACGGTAAGGGATATTGCTAACAGTCCTGATAAAGGACTTGGGAGAAAAATGTATAAAAGGTACCGCAGTGCCAATCATATCACCCTGACGTGCTTGGAGGTCTGGAGTGGGAACTTCCTATTGGGATGCAATCACCTGCAGCTTTGGGATGAAATCGGAAAGCTTTGAGCATTGGGACCCTCCGGGCTTCTGAAGAGGTTGCGGAAGTTCAGTGGGAGACTTGTGTTGATGTCGCTGGGATTTGGACTGGATTCTGTGAGCTGAATGAAGCCACTCTGCCAATCTGTGTTAGGAATGGAGGATCGTGTAGGATAACAGCAGTTTGTCTGCAGTTTGCTGAAATGGGAGATATGGGTGTTCCTGTGCAGCTTCTCCATCAGAGGCTCTTGGTGAGATGCACTTCTGTCAGTCCTGTACTGGCCGTGGACAACAGCCAGGTCCACGCTAAGCACTTTTTCCCCAACACAAATACCAGAAATCATTGGGTAAGAGAAGTCACTGTGTTGGCTTTTATTCCTTCAACTTTGCACCTTACTTCCCGTGAAACGTCAATGCTACAGAAATTCAGTGCAATTTAGCACGGTTGTAATTACTGGCCTTGGCCAAATTGACTAATTAATGATACAGCCTAAGTAAAGATTATCTCTGTAAGCCTTTTTGAACACCTCCCCTACCCCCTGTAGGGAAGTGCTCACAATGTTGATGATAAAAAGTAGAAATCAGTTTACTCCTGACATTTCAGAGCTTTCAAGAGGACTTGTCAGAGATGCCTGAAAGGGGGAAAGGAGTCAACAGAAAAAAAACTGAAGAGTTTTCCTTGCCCTGTACCTGGCGTTTTACATGCTGACAGAAATTAGGACAAATATCGTTAATAGTATTCAATCAGTCAATCTGTCACTTTAGGAGTGTGAATACTAAATTTGCTGAAATAAATATTTATAAGAGAAACAACCTGCTCCATAGCACGGGCAGAGTCAGAACTGGTAAAACCAGACATAATTCTGCAAATGTCACTGAGCTGATAGGAATCCCGCAGTACTATATCTGCTTGTGCCATGAATATGATTTTTCATCAGTTTTCTTTTGGAAGATATATGAAAAGGTTTGAGTTCAAGTCTGGTGTAACTTAGCTCTCACAAGCCTTCAGGGTGAATATGAAAAGGGCATAAATCCCACATCCAAAAGAGACCAAGTAGAAGACGAGGTACAGAGTACCTCGGGCACTGTTTAAAATTATATCCATAACCAGCAGAATTTACTAGGGCAACACAGATGGACAAAGCTGGTAAAATTTATAGGCTGAAAGTAGGCTATCTCCTGGGACAGCTAGTTTGAGACTCCGTCGCAAGATTGAGTTCTCGGAGCCCTTTTAGAGAGAGCGTGTCAAGAGGGCATAGCTGGAGAGTTGTCATCTGTGCTTTGAGTCCGCGGCCTTGCTCCCTCTGGAATGTGTCTGCGGCTCCAAAATATAATCGTTAGAATAGGAAAAGTCCTGTTTTCAAAAGTGATGAATGCATTTAGATGTGAAAGAGTCTAAAGTTTATAATAAATGCTTAAGGTCGTAACAGGCAGACTTTCAAAAGTACAGAAACACCCAACAATTTTGCTAAGCACGCTGTTGAATTCTCAGAAGTAAATGAGCCAAATTTTCAATGAAAACTGATGTTTCTTCTTAAAATGGGATTCAGATTTCTAATATCAGTTCAATGCTTCTGAAAATTCAGCTGTTTTTTCCTTCCTTCTGTGTATAAAAAGGGGGATGCTAAACTAGTATATCTTTTTCCTGTTGTGCGTCTGCCAGATGCATGTTAGCTATCCAATGGTCATTACCACATAATTGAATTATCCAGCAGATTCGTGTTCATAATTAATAGATTGATTTTTCTTTCTCTCTCTCCCCCCCCCCCCCAAAATTAGTGTGTACCATTTGTGCTGCATACTGTCCCCTCTGCCTCCTGGGTGATTTTTTTTCCCTTGCCCTACCTTCAGGAAAAGACAAGGGAAAAAAATCTGAGACACCTTGGTCTAGAGTTAGAGGGAGCTTTGTCACTGATTTCAAGGTTAGTGTCATTAACTGCCAAGATTCTGGCCATCATATATGTTGCTAAGCTTTTATATTTTAGAATGGTAAACGTTCGAGCTTTATGCAAACTGAACCATGGTGAGTGTTTTCAGTTCAGGTTTCAGTTGAATATTATTAACGAAATCTAAAGGGACAAGGTAATGAAAGCACAAAAAGTAGCAGAAATACAGTCTCTTCAAAGACCTATTCTTGTAATAACTGCTACTATCCAATTTGGTATCTTTTTCTTAAAATATGTTGTGTTGCATGTTTAACAGTGCAGAGCATTTCAATAAGGGGAATATGAAAGGTATTTTTATTTTAAATGAAATTATTTCAATTTTGTTTTGCCAAAACCAAGTAAAAATAAAAATAAAAAAAAAAAACACCCTAATTTATTTCGAAAATGTGGGACTACTGTGTTTATTTTATAGGAAGTTATAATTTTGGGGTTGACCTCTGTAAAGTAAACTGATAAACAAAGATTTATGTTGAATAGTAAGTATAAAGAAAAATGGAAAGTTGTGTGGACATTGATAATTCTAGCTATACCTTATTTATCACAATAGTTAATTCTCTCGAACACTGTCCTTAAAATTCTAAGAGCCTTATCCCATGTAATTCCTTTCAAGAAACCATATGTCTCAGTTACTATCAGATTCACAGTCCTCTTGGATGCATTTTTCCACGGTTAAGACTGGGGAGCCACAGACAGCAGTGTCTTCACTTTGCTTTTCATCCAGTCTATAGGGCAGCTCCTGTATTTCAACTCTGCTTTTCATCCTGTACATTCTCACTCAAGTGCTTTCTTCACTGTCGGGTTTCCCCCACACACACGCTTCTCGAGCAATAGGGAGGTTTAAATCCCTTTGTAATACATCTAGTTGTAACTAAGTG